GGCCAATGCTGGGCGCGCCGGGCACCGTGAGGAGAGCTGCGGCGCGGGGGGCTGAAGGGGGCTGGATGCCTTCCGCCCTGCCCGGGGGTGTGCCGCTGAACCGTGTGCTGGAGCCGGCAGTTGTCCTACTGCTGAGCTTGCGTGACACTCTTAAGAGTGGGGCTTAGCGGAGCTTTAATTGCTAAATGGCGAGAGCCCCTTTGTACTGTCGTTTAGCACTCGTTTATGCTCAGTAAAGAACTTGGGGCTGCGTATGGGTAATACTGTATGTGTAAAGGAGGAATGACTGCAGGGTTACTTGTGCTTGCAAGTGGAAGTACGTGACTATTCTTAAAAGCAAGCAATGTGATAAAAGGCATTCCTTTTGTTTGTTGGTACATAATACACTTTAGGTGGCTAAATGATTGCAGGCATCCTGTGAAATACTATATTGCATATAGAATCAGTTGATGTAATTGTTTGTATCTTGTAGGGAAGTCTCTAGTGCTTTCTGTTGACTAGAAGCTTCATTTGACACAAGGCTATTTAATGCTGTAGCTGTTTTGTTGATAACATTCTTTCCATTAAAGGGTAATGGACCAGTGAAAGTTACTGGAAAAATCAGTGGCTTGGTTGATGGAGACCATGGCTTCCATGTCCATGAATTCGGTGACAATACAAATGGTAAGATGTGTATCCCAGCTTTTGAGTTACGTCTGTTACGTGATAGCTTAGCTTTGAAGAGTTTCTTCTGCTGTTGCATCAGCAACCAGTATAAGTCTACTTGGGTCTCATGACTGTGGATCTGTGTTAAGAAATGAGGGTATTTCCTAGGGAATTGCTTCCCATTTAATACTTTGAACATGTTTAGGCTGGTGGTTAAGATTTGACACATCAAGCACTAACCTTAATGCTTGCTAACATGGTGTTAAGAAATAAGAAAGCTTTCATCTGAGTTCCGAGTGTTCTAGAATGAGTAATCTTACTTTATTGAACTTGTAAATCTGCAGTAGATTACTCACCTCCAGAAGATTAGAATATCTGCCAGGAGAGTAGCTATCTCACCATTGGTGACTTCATGTCTTCTGGATATACACCTTAATGTAGTGTATAAGCAATGGATTTAAACTAGCTACTGCAAAAAAGCTAGTTTTAATGGCTCTGTTCTGTTTCAGGGTGTACCAGTGCGGGTCCTCATTTCAATCCTGAAGGGAAGCAGCATGGTGGACCAAGTGATGCAGAAAGGTGAGTTTAGTGTGCCTGGACTCTCACTGGGTAGCTATTCTGTGCAGCTTCTAAGTGCTACTCTCTGCTTGGGAAGCCACTTCCTAAACAATGCTAGGACAATACCAGAAGAAAACTGGCAGTTCCTGCAGGACTTCCAGGGTCACATGGAAGTGATAAATCTACAGTGATGTTGCATACCTTGGCTCCAAGAATATATGTAAAATGTGGACTTTGGGATATATTCTTGGTTTTATCATAGCTTGGGGAGAAGAGGCAATGGGAAAGTTCCTCAGTATGTTAGAGTAGGGGATTCATGTGTTAAAGTCATCTTTAGTGGTGATTTGCTTTTGTTGTCAAAAGCTGGCCCTGAAATGGGGGCATTAAACTCTCACTGAGCTGTATGCAGGCTTGTCATGTGGCAGATCAGGTTCATCAGTGGAAGGTGCTGGGGCTGCAGGGGAAACTGCAAGATGAACAAAGCTGTGTGTGCCAGGGCATGGTGGCTTTGTACTGGATGTGCTGGGCTGTTCTTAGCTTGTTAGCTTAGGTGCTGTACTACCTACAGTGTGTACCCCTCAGTGACTGTGCACCCTCTCGGTACAGGGTCTGAGTATCTCTTGTACCTCAGTCAGAGCTGGGACCAAGTTCTTTCCCCTGGAGGCAGTTTTTGTGGTCCACTCCAAGCCATTGCATGTTTGAGACCTGATGTCTGAGCAGCTGGTTTAAGCATTATGCTGACTGGGTATGGAGACTGGAAGGGGGCTGCACAAGAGCTGAAGGCCAGTGTGATATTGAGAGGAGCTGGGAGCAAGTGTCTTGCACAGGTGGTGTCTGGGCTAGCCACCAGTGTGGCATTGTGTTTGGTCTTTTAAATGCTCACATTATGTCCATAACTGCATCTTCTGTGACTGGAAGCTCATACCTGAGTGATCAATTGCATGCCAGACCAAGCAAGCTGGCTGGTAGCCAGCTGTGTGGATGATAACAGCATAAAATGGTGTGTTCATGGGCTTCAGTGGCAGCCAGTGGCTAAAGGTCAAAACTGCATGAACACCGTGGTTTCTGCTGCTTTTGGTGTAATGTGCCTGCTCAGGCAGCTGTGGCTGGGGAGCTCCTCAGGAGGGTGTGAGAATTAGATCATGCGTTTTACTAGTGTAGAGTTGAAACAATTGGACTGAAGCTTCCCAGAAGCTTAAATTGAGCAAATTACTGAAGGGAAAACTGCCCTTGGGCTGATTTTATAGGTCTTGGTTACACATACAAAATTGGTGCTGTGCTGTCTTAAGAAGCTGGCAGTCAGCATGCAGCTACCTGAGCTGAGCACCCTGCATGGCTGCAGAGCTTTGGAAACTCAGTGTTCTGCATCTTGATAGAAGAAACTCAGAGCTTTGGAAACTCAGTGTTCTGCATCTTGATAGAAGAAGCTTGCAGAACATCACCAGCTTGCTACTTGAGTGAATGCTCTGCTTGGCACAAATCTGTAGGAAACAAGGCACTGGAATGTCCATAAGTTCAGTGAAAACCAAACTGCTTGAGGCTTAATTCTTAAGGGAAGTCCCAGTGGAGATCTAGTACTAGTAAAAAAACTGTGGTAGAGCATAATGCCAAGTGTGAAGTAAACTCAGCCACTCATCACTGCTGCTCATTAGAACTTTGCTAGCACTTGATGCATCCACTTTGACCTGTCACTTCACAAACTGCTTTTACTAATCCTGTTTAAACCCAAAGCCTGCATGCAGCTGCTTGTGGAATAGCTGATCTGTAGTAGACATTAAGGGCTCTTAAGAGCTTTTAAAGAGTAGTGGCAGTGCTTACACCAAGCCTTGTATGTGCAGGAGTGATGGCATTCCTTTCCCCAAAGTTGATGAACCTTCCACTACTAACTCCTTTAGTTTCAAGGGACAATTAAAATTCAGTCCTAGGTATAACCTGAACCTAGAAGTGTTAAAGGTTGGCTGGCAATGGTAATTGAGGACATAATGCTGTTTAAGGCAAGATGGTGGAGTATTTGAAGGTAAGAACTAGGGATATTGCATTGTCCTGGCCATCACTTAGAAAAGCCTTCAATTCAACGAAGTTTTCCATGAATCTCTCTGCACCTTTGTGTAGGCATGTGGGAGATCTTGGCAATGTGACTGCTAAAGGAGGAGTAGCAGAAGTGGCAATAGAAGATTCCATCATTTCTCTTAGTGGACCACATAGCATCGTGGGACGTACCATGGTGGTAAGTGTCTTGGTGCCTACTTGGGTGCTTTAGGGAACTGTAGAGCAGTCTTGACAGTACATAGAGACTCTGGTGCTGGAGGCCAGTCCCTGGTGTGTGTTACAGAACTTGCAGTGCAAGATTTCGAAGGCAGGGAGTTCTTTTGAGACCTTGCCTGAAAGTCCTCTGTGTGTTAGTGTGGCACTTTACTGCTTTGAGATTTTCTGCCTGCCTTTCAAAGTTGTTCCTCCCCATTTAACTTTGCCTCTTCCAGCTGTGAGTGACTAAAGCAACCTGACTTGAGGGAGGACCTGGCACAAGTGCTGTCACTGAAAGGCATGGCAAGGGTCAAGAGCACTTGCTCTGGTCTGGTAGCTGCTGGTGTGACTTGTGCCATGGCCTCCCTGGGAGGGAGGCGGGCAGAGGCTTAGTGCACTTGGCTACTTGTTGGTGTTGTCAGTCTTGCTTCCCTTGGGGTGCCAGTGTGTGCTGAGGTCGCTGCTGTGCTCACTTCTGCATGGCCCAGGTGAGGGCTGAGGGAGTTCCCAGGGAGGTTCTGGAGTGCAACACTTGTGGTGTGGCCTTGTGTTGTGAGGGTGAATGTCAAGTCCAAGCTTGCTCTTGGGCTGCTTCTAACTCTTTGAATATATGGGGGTTTAGTGACTTCCACCTGAAACCTTCATCTGAAGGCAGTTCATCTTTTTAGGCAAGTCTAGTATTAGGTTTTTGGCATGAGTATCAATTTGGTATTCAGGAATAAGTAATTGCAGTAGGTTCTCTCTGTTATGTAACACCCTGCTGATAGCTGGCAAAACTGCTTGTCACTGCCAGTATTAGTGCAGGTCGTGGAAAATGTTTATTAGTTCTGCAATAACGTGAACTAAGGCATCTTCAATTCTCTTCCAGGTCCATGAAAAATGCGATGATCTGGGTAGAGGAGGAGATAATGAGAGCAAATTGACTGGAAATGCTGGACCTCGTTTAGCTTGTGGTGTAATTGGAATAGCCAAGAGCTAAGTGTTGTACCTGAAATGTTTCAGATGACAGTGGTGAATGGGCTGTATTTCATTGCAACTGCTGTACTTGCCCTTTCTCATGCAAAAGATGTATCACTTAATCTCATTACTACTCTGCATTCTGAGTATCACTTAAAATGGTGAAGACTGACTTAATTTTGTATGATGTATATTGCAATTAAAGTGACCCTGATGGAATGTCTCTGTAGTTTTCTGCTGGAGCATCTGCTGTAACCATTAAGTACAACTTCACTCGCTCTGTGTAATGGGAGGTGTGTGGTAGTGGTCATGTCCTGAACACCAGAACCTCCGGTGTACTGTGTGATTGGGAGGATTAGCTCTAGGAGCTTTGGTAAGGCTGCTCACCAAAGAGCAGGAGGCACTGTGAATGTGTTGGGGCTTCCTCCTGGCGGAGTTGCAGCATCTGTAGGTATCAAACTTGTGTAATAAACTTTCTGAGCAAATACACCTTGGTCTTGCTGTCTGTAAAGAAAGAAAAGCTGAATAGCACAGCCCTACCTGCTGACTTGCTAACAGGGAAAGGCAGGCCTGGGCTTTGTGGTGCCCATAGTTAGCTGCTAGACATGAACAGCACCCAGGGAGGTGCTGCCAGCCAGTTAACCCAGGGGTTTTATGTACCCAAGGGTAACTCTTGCTTTGTGTTTCCCAGCAAGAAGGTATTTCTGCTTGTGAAGTGTGTGACCCTGTGGTGGGGAAGCTGTGAGCAGCGTATCATGATCCGGACCCAGTGTGTGTCCTTGTGCATCATCTGTGCCCCTGGCAGTTGCTGGGTGGTGGTGGGTTGTGCGAAGTGGAAGCCTGGAGGGTTTAGTGGAGCCAACAATTCTCCAAGTAATGCAGGTGTCTAGTATGGAGCACGCATTCCCTTTAAAAGGATGTACATAGCCATGTATTCTGTATTTAATTCATAAACCTCTGCAACAGTGCGTTTACTGCACACTGGTGCCAGCTTTTGTTGTATTTTCTTGTATGTAGCTCATAAAACATATTTCTAAGTATTTTATTAGAGAAAGCTACTACTTTCAAGGAAGACTTGTAAGAGGAATTGGCTGTAGTTCTAGATGCCTAGATTCCAGTGTAGCATGTTATATATGAAATGGTTTTTGGTAGTACAGTACTATAAAAACACATTAAACTTACTTAGGTTCCCTGCAGGTTCCCCTCTTTACCCACCTGTACCTGTGCCTGTGCTGTAGTCTGTGCTCCAGTTCAGCTGCTGCAGAAGAACTAAGCGTTACCACCATCGGGAGCTGCTGCACATGGGAAACCCACAACCACCACCCTCACCTTATTGCAGCTTGGAGGAACTGAGTATTTGACAACTGTAGGTTCAGCTGCTGTGGCATGAGGATGGTGGCAGCTCTGCAGCTTGCCTTGCCTCTCCTGGCCATTCTGGCACCGAACCTTGCTGCTTTCCAAGCCTGGTATGTGCCAATCTGCTTTCAAACCTGTTTCCTCTTGGCAGGCTCAGTGTCTGACAGCATGCTAGCCTTGGAGCCAGTGCGCTATGAGAGGATGTACAAGTAACGCTTGGTTTATGTGTGAGTTGGCGTAACCAGCAGGTGTAGGCTCCTGTTAATTGCCAATGCTGTGTTGTCTATCAGTAATGGGTGCTGGCACTGAACTAATTAATCATTACATACCAATTTCTGGCATGGGTTATTTTAAAGCCAGAAATGTGGTAGTTGTGGAAGGGTAGGGTGCAGTTACACTGGTGATGCTCCCTTGTCAGTAGGTTCATTATACACTTGCTGCTTCAGAGGGTGGCAAGAAACTGTTCTGCAAAGGACACCCAAGGTTTTCCTTGGCTTTGCTTTCAAACTTCTAATACAGGAAATGGAGACACTGAGGTGGCAGTTGTGTGAACAGGTAAGTCTTCGTCTCTTTCGCTCTTGCCCTGTCTTTGTTAAAACACTCCTCCCTCCTTACAGAATAATGGCGGTTTTTACCAAGGCAAGGCTTAAGCCTGAGACATGAATGTCTGGCTTTGGAGGCAGAAAGTTAGTTCTGCTGGCCCAGCACAAAACAGACATTAAGGACACAAGTTTGAACACACAACAGCTGAGTTCAGAACAAGTATGTAAACAGGTTTTTCTCTCTTTATTCTGCTATTGCAAGAACATAAAAATAGATGTCCTTTCCCCAGTCTGTGGCTCCACATTCACTCTCCTTCTGTCCTCCCTCCCCCAGGAAAAATTCCTTCTGCCATGGAGCAGCTCTGACAAAGTCCTAATGTAAGAAAGCAGCTGCCCTTCACTTGGGGAAGAAAACTCCAACTTTAAAAGTCAAACGCAGCTATACCAGTATCAAGGGAGGAGAAAAAAAAACCAAACCCAAACTAAATACACACAGGATTCACACCTCTTCCACTATGCTTCCAGAGTTAACCAAGCTCCAACCGCAGGGCCGGTGCCCACTGTCCCCATGCAGCCGATGGCCAGGCGGCACGAGGGCTCTGACCACCCAGAACCAGCATCTGCCCTCTCCAAACCTGACAGCGTGACTGGGGTGATCTGGCGAGGTGATGGTGAACCTGAATGCAGGTGGCAGGAAAGCGCATTCCTCGTCCGTCCATCAGCCGGGCGGGTACAGCAGCACCAGGAGGGCAGAGGTTTCACACCTACCTCCGGTGGGGCTGCACGGGGCAGACAGTGCTCACACAGACAACCACCTGAGCCAAGAGGCGGCATTTTAACATCCTCATGCACAGCCCGCCCCCTCCTCCCCTTTTCCCACCCCCACTTGCAGAACGAACAGGTCAGCATTTTGTAGTGGGGTTTGGTGCCCTTTTGATCTGCCTTTCACCCCACTTGCCAAGAAGCACCAGTGAGTACCAAGTCCACCAGCTGCTGACCGGGACGATGCCCCCCAGCCCACCGCGCACACGTGTAACCGTCCAGCAGAGGTGTCCATTTTTTAAACAAGGCAAATCAGGGCAACATTCACCAGAGAACCACAGAATCAGTTGGGGGAGGGGGAGGGAGGGAATAAAACAAATTTAAAAAAACTGATTGCATTTCAAACACTCAACAGTCAACTCTTCCATCTTAAACCCACCAGCTTGTACCCGCTCTGGCCAAGTAAGGTCACTGAAACGCAGCGCTCTTCTTAAGAACCAAGATGAGTCTTACAAATAAAAATTTGCTTCTGTGAATAGCTACACAAACAGATGTATTTCTTTTAACAAATATAAACAGAACAGTCTAATTTAGACTCCAGTACAGCATTAACAGTTCCAACTTAAAGATGTTGAACACTCCTTTTCCACTTCAGTGCAGTGTAGGAAGAATAGCACACGGTAAAGTTTGTTACGAAAATAGAGTTTATTAAAAACACATCCCTATGGTTTCGAGGAGCTTTCACCGTTACCTTTTCTTAAATTAAAAAAAAAAATAGAAAGCACTTCTACTTCTGATTTGTAAACTTTTTAAAGTCAAAACTTTAAAAAAGTTACAGCAAAAATGGGTAATATTTTAATCATATCTTCAGTATTTCATGTTACGCTGTGGCTATTTTAAATAGAAGGGAAGCAATCAAATTGCTTACAATTCCCCACCAACTACCGAGGGGCTGTGAGAGAAGCAGAAGCAAATATAATACAGCAGACTGTACAACCCTAAAGCTCTACACTCCAACAAATGTCACTGTCGTCTCACGACAACTTCCAGTCCCTAGCGAGGAGCCTCCGACACTGAGCCCAGATCTTTTTCCGCCTGTTCCAGGGATGAGGTAGCCTCTGGTGTCAACTCTTCCGCAGGTTTTACACCCGTGGGTTCCGAGTCTCCCGAAGTGAGTTCGGAAACAATGTCTGCGTCTTCCATTTTGCTGCCATGAGATTCGTGGTTTTTGTCGCTGTCTGCCCTGTCAGTCATCTCCGGTTTCTCCTTCCCGCGCGTTTCCTCCTTGTCTCTGCGAGACTCCCTGTCTCTGGAATCCCTCTCCCTGTCTCGATGGCCACCAGAACGCCTGTTTCTGTCCTCCAAGTCTCTGTGTCTGTCACGGTCGGGGCTCCTCCGTCCCCAGTCTCGCCTGTCACGACTACCAAGCCGCTCATGATCTCGGTCGTCGTTGCGGCTACCGTAGCGGTCACGATCGTTTTCTACCCGATTTCCGTAAGATCTCCTTCCAAACCTTTCCTGGTCTCTGTTAGGCGTGAACGTCTGCCTGTCATTCCTGAACTGCCTCCCATCTCTGTTCTCCTCAGGTCCACCCGGTGCCCCGCTTCCCGGCATCCCCCCAGGTCTCACAAAGTGACCGGGTGGCGGGAAGGGGGTTTTCATTCCGTGGGGAGGAGGCATCCCAAAGCCCCCTGGCCCCGGTGGGGGCCCTCTGTGCATCATGTGAGGGGGCATGTGTCGTGGTGGCATCAGGGGAAACCGCTGCAGAGGAGGGGGTGGCATTCCGGGCGGTCGCTGGAGTGGTATCAAACCAGGCCGGGCACCCAAGAGGCCAGTGGATGGAGTCTGCAACCCAACGACGGGCGCTGGCGGCGGGGGCGCAACTCCTTGAGTGCCTGAAACAAACAGAGACATGCCAAGTAAAACCACAGGCTGGCGGGAGGGGACAAAAGAAAAGGCATCATCTCAAAAACAAATATTCTGAAATTATCTTATAAAATGAGTAACACCAAAACTGAGTGGTGGCGTGGGGGGGAAGAGAGCAGCCTACAAAGCTTCCTGGGCTGGTTTACATACTGTTAAGAGCGCATCGTTTTTAAACAGCAGTTTGTGCCATGCTGCAAGTAATTAATATTGCAATGGCAGTAACTAATCGCTTATTCAAAGGCTTCCTTCTGTGAAGCAGCTGCTGCTGTTGCGCAGGTCAGAGCTCTCCCAGATCTCCAGCTCGGTGTCTTGCTTTGTCAACTGACTGCTGACGAAACACCTTCCTAACAGGTCACGCTTCCCGGGCTTCTAATTAAAGCCACCTCACCCTGTTCAGTTAGTTTTAAAACATCCTCCACTGCAAACATCAGTGGAATCATAGCTGCTAAAATGCCCTGAGATCTGACTTGGCCACCAACAGGATTTCTCACGCGCGGGAGAGGTAGACAGGGAGAGGCAAGGTCAGAACAGGGCTGGAGTCCAAGTGGAAGATCACAGAGGGCTCAATGTACCGTTCCACAGAAAAGGGATACAACAAAGTTTAATTTAGTAGAATAAACCTTGCAACATAAA